TCCAACATAAAACGCAGAAAATCTACTCCAGCTTTTTTATTAAACTGAGGTTAATGCTTCAGAAAAAAATGTTAAGAGTCACAGTTCACGCGAGGACTGTGCAGACAGGAAACACCACCTTCCGGTTTTTGATAACGTCACGGGAGCTTGAAAGAGACAGTTTCTTTTCTGAATAGTATCTGTTGAAAATACTGCGCACAAGCAGCTGTAACAGCCATTACCCAAATCACTGCCGAAGCAGGTAAGTGTTTTCCTAAGGTTTCATCTGTAGCTTTGACTTGTCCTGTATGTGAAAGAATGTTGATCGTTTATCATAGATTGAAGGACTGGATGTGATCTGATCCTCTGGAAGTAATCGACTGGAAGTGTGCAGGCAGTTCTTCCCCAGATGAAGACTGCTGATGAGAAGCAACAATGCACAGATCAAGGAGAGGATGTGAAAAACATGGAGGAAAAGAGTTCTGCTGATGAAACAGATGATGTGTCACAAGGTAAGCAAGTCAGATTAAGAACTAGAAGGGCACAGATTGGCCACTGTATTGCCATATTGCATTTACATGCATTGACATCATATTCCATGTACACATAAAGTTTCTGAAAACTGAAATAGCTATTTTGATTTTAAAAATCTGGATCATTATCCAGATCTTCACAACATTTCACCTGTTCATAAATACTAGTTAGATACAGATTGTTTTTCATAAAGCTCTCTGGATTATTTCTTGGGAAATTCACAAACATTTTGAAAAAGGATTAAGCAATGTGGAAAAAAAAAAAGATTCTAGATATTTCCCTGATCGGATCTGCACCTAAATTTGATGGCATCTTCCTTGGGCCACACCTCTCTACTTTCCTCCACTCCTGCTTCCTGAACGCAGATAAAAACATAAGCTCCTGAATGAGTTGAAAATACCTTACACTGCAAGGAAATGGATCCAGTGCAAAGATAAGATTTGTCAATAACATTGTGTTCATGTATGTATTTGCTTGTTTTGGTTCTCAGTTTTACTCCAGCAATCATTTACTACAATTAATTTTTTCCCGTCACAACCTGTTGAAGCCGAGTTTTGTTGTTTCTCTCAGAGTCACTTCCGTCTATCCAGGCTCTGGTTCGTCATTTACCTCCCAGCATCTCTGCTCAGAATGGAAGCAGCGTGGTCGCTCCTTCCATCATCAATTCTAACATTGGCAACATAAACATCAATATCACCTCAACCAGCCAAGGTAGAGACACAGTATAAACGGTGAATGTAAAACAGGAAGTTTGGGCTCCGCTGATCTTTCATTTTCTTCTTCGGCAGGGTGTATCGTTGAAGCACTGAACCACGACACCTGTGGGTCTCTGCAGCCCCAAAGTGAGTAATTCACACAACCCATCACCTTCAAACTGTCAAAAGGAATTTGACATATTGACAGAAAAGTTTTATTCCTGAAAGTTAAATGACCTTCATACGCATTTTCTCCCTCAGACAACAAAGTAGCTGAATGTCAGCAGAAACTTCGAGAGACACTAAAGAGGAAGTTCAGCCACCTGCTTGAAGGGCTCACAACAGAGGCAAACAGAGTACCTCTCAATAACATCTACACGGAGCTCTATATCACTGAGGGAGGAAGTGCCGAAGTCAATAAGGAGCATGAGGTGAGGCAGATTGAGGCGGCGTCCAGGATGCATGTGGCCCAGGAGAAATCAATCCACTGCAATGAACTCTTTACCCCTCCACCAGGACGACACCACCACCATGTCAGAACGGTGATCACGAGGGGAGTGGCCGGCATCGGAAAAACGGTATCTGCTAATAAATTCACTCTAGACTGGGCTGAGAAGACAGCTAACACCGACCTGGATTTTGTGTTCCCACTCGCTTTCCGAGAGCTGAATCTGATGACAAAAAAAACCTATAGTCTAGAGGAGCTTCTCTGTGTCTTTTTCCCGGAGACGAAAGACACAGGAATCTTCACTGATGGTAAAAGTAAAATGCTCTTCATCCTGGACGGTCTGGACGAGAGCCGACTGTGCCTGGACTTCGACAAGAGTGAAATCATCTCCGATGGGAAGCAGCAGACCAAAATCACCGTGCTTCTGACCAATCTCATCAGGGGGAGACTGCTCCCCTTGAGTCTTGTTTGGATCACATCTCGCCCAGTGGCTTCCAGTCTGATCCCGGGGGAGTACATTGACCTGGTGACGGAGGTCCGAGGGTTCAACAACCAGCAAAAAGATGACTACTTCCGGAAGAAAATTGGCAACGAGAGCTTGGCAAACAGGGTGATCGCCCACGTGAAATCCTGTAGGAGTCTTCACATCATGTGCCACATACCAGTTTTCTGCTGGATGGCGGCGAGTGTTCTCGGGAAACAGCTGGCGACAACTGACAGTAAAGACACGCCAAAGACTCTCACTAAAATGTACATAAACTTCCTGTCTTTGTATGTGCAGAACATGAAGAAGAGGTGGCCTGGAAGACGAGAGTCAAGCGCTGATGTCAGAGATAACCTCATCTTGCTGGGTGAACTGGCCTTTAAGGAGCTTGAGAAGGGCCACTTGATCTTCTACGAGAAAGATCTCATCAAAAACGGAATAAATATTTCCCAGGCGTCCATGTTCTCAGGAGTCTACACACAGATCTTCAATGAGGAGCTTTCACTAGGAGAGGAGAAGATGTTCTGCTTTGTGCACCTGAGTGTGCAGGAATTCTTCGCTGCTTTGTACGTCTTCCTCATGTTCCACAACGACAACGTCAACGTCCTGGTGAAGAAGTCCTCCTTGGGACTCTTCCAGTTCCGAGACTCTTCAGAGCTCATCCTCTATAAGGAGGCAGTGGAAAAGACTCTGCGTTGTGAGAATGGTCATTTTGACATCTTTCTGCGCTTCCTGTTGGGCCTGTCTCTGGAGTCCAGTCAGACTCTGTTGAAGCATCTAATGACCAGCAACAGAACAAAACAACGGACCAGAGCAGAGATCATCAAACACATCAAGGAGAGGATCAGGTCGAGTCTGTCCATAGACAGGTGCCTCAATCTCTTCCACTGCCTCTTTGAGCTGAACGACCACTCGCTTGTGGAGGAGATTCAGAGCTACCTCAGCTCCGGCAGTCTGAACAAAGCCAAACTGTCCCCTGCACAGTGGACCACTCTGGTCTTTGTCCTGCTGACTTCAGAGGAAGAACTGACTGTGTTTGAGCTGAGCAACTACACCAGGTCTGAGGAGGGACTTGTGAGGCTGCTGCCTGTTGTTAAAACTGCTCAAGTGGCAAAGTAAGTGTTTTGATGAACTAGAACGGCACTCGGTAGAGTACATATACCTTTCCCAAGGCCCAACAGTCCTTTTAAATTCAACCAAGCTGCACTGCAGACTGTGAATGAAGATGGACCGAAGTGATGCCAAAGCGCCTCGATTGCCCCCTGGTGGCTGGCTGCTGTAAAAGCCATAAACCTTACCTCCTCCATGTTAATGCATAGGCCCTGGAGCAAACAAAAAATAATTAAAGTGTCAAATAAATATCCTTTCTTTATTCCATTATTGACCTCTCCTCTCACCTTTTCTATTCCAGTCTGAAATCATGTAATCTCACTGTGACCTGCTGTGAAATCCTGGCAAACTGCATCAGCTTGTCTAAAATGAGAGAGCTGGACCTGAGTAACAACAGCCTGACAGACTCAGGGATTATACTGCTCTCTGCTGGACTGAAGAAAAGCAAACTGGAGACACTGAGGTCCAAATCTGACATGTCTCTCTAAGTTTTTATTCATGATCATTTTCCATCTGTGAGCAAATGGTTTTACACTTTATTCTCTTAGACTGAGGAGCTGCAACCTGACTGATCGAAGCTGTGACGCCCTGGCCTCATTTCTCAGCTCAGCATCCTGCCAGCTCAAAGTCCTGGACCTCACTGACAACGACTTTCAGGACACAGGAATCTCAAAGCTCGCAGAGGGACTGGGGAGTCCTCATTGCAAACTGGAAATACTCATGTGAGTGCCCTCGAGTGAAATTCCATTCCAGATGAATTATTTAAAAGGAGCGTACAGTGCAGAGCCAAACATGCAGACTCTGCTCGCTGCTGTCATTTGTGATGGAGATCAAGATGGATAAAATGTCTCGGTGTCTTCTCTCAAAGATTGTCCCTGTGCAGAGTGACAGAAGAAGGCTGCACTTACCTGGCGTCTGCTCTGAACTCATCCGGTGTGAGGGAGCTCAACCTGAGCTACAACCACCCAGGAGACCTGGGCCTGCAGCTGCTGTCTGCTCTACTGGATGCGCCACAATGCAGCCTGCAGAAACTCAGGTAGAGACCAGGGCCAGAATCAAGAATATATATAATATATATAAGAATGAATGTGACAATTTGTTTAGAATTTTATTGTAGAAGCTTTTTTAAGTACACAATGTGATGTAACCAGTCACGATTTTCAAAATGTATTCAATTATGTGCGTCTTTGCTCAAAGTTATAGAGCTGACAGCAATCAAGCAATGGCAGTAAATGTGCATTTTACTGAACCAGGAACTGTATACATTGATGTTGAACATGTAATCGGCCCCTGCCCAGTTATGGCCCCTGATTTGGAAAAATCCTAGATCTGCCCCTAGATGTGCTTTTAACTTTCTGAAGATTTTGATGGTCATGATGCAAGGATTTTATTTATCGAAGTCTGTCAACAGGTCTCAGGGAAAAATGTTTGTGGCCTCTGAGAGACCTGTGTGATAAATTCTGATTGGTTTTAAGTTTCACAACCTGAAACCTCCTTCAGCCAGAGCTCATCTCTGCTTGATTATAAATAACGACCTCCTCTATCACCTGTAATAGTTAAAGGCACTAAATAAAAATAAAAAGCTTTGTTCTTCTATTATGTTTTAGTGTGGAAGAGTGTGGTGAATCCAGGATTCAGCCAGGTCCAAAGAAATGTGAGTAACCAGCACTTTTTACTTTGTTTCCGTCTAATCTCATTAAACAGCTCTTGGTAACATTTTACACTGACAAACATTTCTGTTGAATCAGATATCACCAAACTCAGCCTGGACCCAAACACAGCGCACAAAGACCTGGCTCTGTCCAAGGAGAACACAAAAGCAGACCGTAGCACACCACAGTCGTATCCCGATCACCGTGAGAGGTTTGATTTCTGGAGACAGGTGTTGTGTCAAGAGGGACTGAGCGGCCGGTGCTACTGGGAGACAGAATGGAGTGGGAAAACTTTCATAGGAGTAGCCTACAGACGTATGTGCAGGAAGGGAGAGGGAGGCGACAGCTGGTTAGGCCGGAATGACTCTTCCTGGGGCCTCAGCTGCACAAACGATAGCTTCAGGGTCGTGCACAACGCCACAAACACTGCTCTGACCATCACACCCAGCTCCAACAAAGTAGCAGTCTTTCTGGACTGGTCAGGGGGGACACTGTCGTTCTACTTGGTCTCCTCCTGTGGCTCACTGACCCTCCTCCACACCTTCCAAACTTCCTTCACTGATGCCGTCTACCCGGGGTTTCACCTTGGCTGGGTGGGCGCCACAATCACCCTCTGCTAAATGATCACCAGGACATAAAGAATGCTTCATGTTTCCTCCTGCTCTCTACACATTAAGGTTCAGTTCAAATAAAAAGTAGAATTATTGCACTGTGGTTATCGTCCACCACCAACCACTGCAGTTTTAGAACACCTAAGTTTTCACTGTGACCCTTGACCATTGAAATCATCTAATTCCAATTGAAAACTGGTCAAACTTTGAAGGAATTCACCAAAGGCAGACTTGAGATATGACATGTTTCTGATATGTTACATTCACGCACATCTGTCCGTCCTGGAGTGCTCCGTCACACATGACTCTCTCTGAGGTTTCTAAACGTTTCTTTCCAATTAAAAGTTTTTTTTGGGGTAGTTTCCTTCCTCACTCTTATATCAAGGGTTGAGAACAGAGAATATTGCACCTTCTTAAGCCATATGAGGCAATTTGTGACTTGGGCTATACAAATATATGATTTGATTAATTGACAAGGAGGTCACAGCGACCTTGACCTTTGACCACCTCAAATTGAATCTGTTGATTTCGAGTTCAAGTGAAAAGGCGTCCCTCAGATGTTCACAAGAATGGGATGGACAAACAACACAAAAGCATATTGCCTCCAACTGCTGGCTGTCCAAAGTGTTGAAACAGAAAATGTGTTCATCTCTTTAACCATGAGAGTAAAAACACAGCCCCTTGAGAGGAAGTGAAAATGTTTTGTAATTTGGAAAAAAACAAAATTGTTCAATAATGTAAATGTCATTAGTAGAGCAATGTGAAGTGAATATTTCTAATAAAGGCTCTCTCTCTGGAAGGCAAAGAAAAACAAAAGAGAGAAGCAACGTGTGGAGTTGCGCTTTTAACCTCATTTTATTAGCAGTCCCAAGAGGCAATGAAAAAAACAAATCAAAGAAAAAAAAAAAAGGAGGAGAAATTGAGATTACAGTCAAGACAATGGGTCAAACTCAGTGAACGTGAAGATGGAACAGAGGGCGACACACACACACACAAATAAACGCACAAAGTAAAAAAAAAAAGAAGAAAAGAACGGAAAGTGATAAATGAAGAAGACTGAAATTAATCTCATGGGTAGAATGTGTGTGTATGTGTTGGCTGATCCCTCTGTTCCTCAGAAGAAATTCACCAGGACCGACCCTGCATTCACTCACACACACACACACACACACACTCTCTCTCTCTCACACACACACAGATCACAAAGCCAGTCTTCTTTTCTCCAGTAAAAACCATGATTTTTAAATTTAGGCCATTTTTGTGACAGAGAAACCAACCATCAACAAACCACAGCTGCTCAGGCAGGTCTTTAAAATTGTTATTTTCTTATTAATTCTGTACAGATTATATATTTTATTTACACACTGAACATCGTCAGTGCGGAGACAACTCAAAGTTTGCAATCATGATCTGATGTCTGTTTATCAGCCTTCCCTCTGTTTATTTCTGTCGGCTTAAAAATGCATTTCTATACATTTTAGGACATCAAAACTCTTTAATATAAAGTCTGCCGCACTACATACCATCAACAGACACAATCATCCTCAGTTATGGAGGATTCTCCATCGCCATCATGCTGAGATCAAAAGTTCACATCCTTCTTCAATTTTGTTTTCCTCTTTCATTTAGTCCTTTTTCCTTTTTTCCATCTCTGACCTTTCCCAGTGCTGCATAGACTTAAAACTCTCAAAACAGAATCATGACAGTGATTTGAAATGCACATCTGGTTTGTCGGTGAGTAAACAGGGGGGAGCCAGATGTTGGTACCGACAAAGAAAACTCAACTGAAGCCGATATTAAACAAATCTGCATCATACGAATTACCGTAATGACTATGTTTTCAGCGCACCTTATTTTTCAGTTGATCTGTTGACGTTGAGAGCAGATTATATTCTAAATGCCTCCTGCAGGTGAAAACTTGCCAGCTGTTCATCTCGGTGCTTAAATTCAGATGATTGAACCGAGAGCAACATTGGGAAATAAGAATCGGGCAGCGGGCGACTAATCCTCACATCTGGAAACAACAAACACGATGATTGGAGGAGCATGGGGAGGGGGTACTAAGGCCATGATTAAATGGGAGATGAGACAGAAAGAACAGCATTCATTATGTAATTCCATTTATGACTTGTATGTAGATGTCCTTCACTCTATTTGGATTCAATCATATAAAAATTGTTTTCTATGTATTTCAGTGCTAATAATAAGACAGTACACCAACTACAGTCAACATCAGCCTCCTCCATCGCTCGTTTAGTCTCTTGCATACATGTAATTGTTCACTTGTGTATGTACATTACCCTCCCTCTTCATTTATTCTGCTCCTGCTGTGTCGGAGCAGTAGATTTGAGGCAGAGTAAACCTCTAATGACATCACATCACATCCTCTCTCTCTCTCTCTTTCCCACCCCGCACACACACACACACACACATTCACACACACTCAGATGATGAGATCCGCCAGCTGGTCCATGGCAGAGAGCAACAAGATCTTTAGTTTGTTAGGTTTAAAAAAAAAAAAAGAAGATGATGATAAAACGCTTTCTTTCTTTTATGAGGAGCTGTGAACCAGGTGGGTTGGGTCAGCGGTGGTCAGGGCCATACAAGTGAACAAAGGGAAATTCTGAGGCGAGGGCGCCTAACTGAGAAGCTGGCGGATCTCCTTGTGCATGTGACACAAGAAGTCCACGTATGACGCTCCCCCGCTGGCGCTCTTGTCCTCGACCAGGAAGTGCCTGAATATCAGCTCGGCTTTGTCTTCCTGTTTCACCACCATCAGCTGAGAGTGAGAGATGAGAAGTAGTGTAAGAAACAGAAGAAAAACAGAGCAGGTAGGAGGAGGGCTGGGAGTCAAACATTCTACTGAGGGAGAGAAAAAGAGAGAACTTGCCTTCATGTATCGGGGTCGCTGTGCTCTGAAGGAGTCGACGATTTCTCGGAGTCTCTGAGAGAACGGGTTGTCTAGCTCTGGTAGACTTGTCTGAAATACAGAGCACAGACATTCAGCGAGGACAGACCACACTTTAACTAACAGGGTCGAATTGGTATCGCAGAAATACTAATAATCTTACAATAATTGATGCCAGAAAGTTTTAAAAAAATACTTGAAATAATAAACATGCGTGTTTACTGCTGCACAAAAATGTCGTCATAAATGGAAAATCAATAGTAATTGACGTTAGCTTTTAATTACAAAATATCTCTGTATGACTCTCACCATGCTCGGGTCGATCTGGCTGAAGCTCTGTGTGCCAAAGATGTTGAGCAGCAGCTCCTGCTGAACGCTGGCACCCACCCACAGGAAGAGGTGGAGCCCCGTCTCCAGGATGTAAATTCCACCTTTCGACAGCCTCTCCTCCGAGTCCCTCACCGCCACCGGCAACGACCCGCTTTCAAGCTTAATCTGGAAAAACAAAGAGATGTAACAATATTAGATGAGTGTGTTAGCCTTGCCATCTGCTGATCAAACGGCTCTGTATGTGTGTGATCTCACCAGTGGCAGGAGGCGGGGGTAGAAAAAGACATGGGTCTCCGAGACATCCATGCAGCTGATCAGCTGCCTCAGGTAAGCTCGGTCGTCCAACGAGACGTCGGCTCCCGGCAGCAGCACGTCACTCTTCAGCACGCAGTTGAGATAGACGGGTAACAGCTTCATGCACTCTGGGAGGATCAGCTGGAGAACACACACATACAGATGTTACGTGTTCAAATACATTAACAGACTCTTAATGACGACAGTTAATATGATTCTGAAGGGTTTCTTGTCTGACATGTCACCCTGTAATTAGGAGACCATCCATTTTAGATACTTTTAGGGCTATAAAAATTAAAATATAAAAGTGAGCAACAAGTTAATTCTTGATTTAAACTTAAGCTTTACTTTAGTTGAGACTTTTTTCACAACATTCAAATGCTATTTACAGACTTAAAAATACGTGTATTTGTATTTATAAATATACGATCACATGCAGCTAATGCATATTTGCTACATTGGTTTCCTCCATAGTGACATTATATACAACAAATACATTTTCTGATGGTGAATGAAGGTGACGAGATGTGGACGAATTCAAATGTATTTAATTCTTTTAAACAAAGTTTACATGAGGTCAGGTCCTGAACCACACACAACATTCATGTGGATAATGCTTGAATAAACGCAGCACAAAACTAAAAAGCAGGGGAGTAAAGTGTTGAATGTGATGTCAGCGGAGTGTGAAAGCGCAGATTTTTTTCCATACCTGACCAGCTGATGAGGGGCTTGCACAGTTCTTCCGGTAGCAGGCCAGAATCTGAGCACACTGATTGATCAGAGTGTCTCTCACCGCCTTAGTTTGGTTGTTCAGAACACCCCGGAAAGCTGTCAAACACATAGACAGTGCAAACTTTAATTGTAACATCCAAGAATAAACAGTATAAAATAAATGGATTACTGTATTACAATGATTATCATGATTTTAAAAACTGAAGCAACAACAGCTAAAGCTTCCGATGCTAACTTGCTTTACTTTTAGAAAAATGTTTCTCATTTATTTTTCCACTTTGACAACTTTCAGAGTAAAATGCTGAGTGTGTAAAATTCTACTGTACACTCTCTTCATCCTCCCTGTTGAGCTCTTTGAGCCGTCCTCACCATATTTGGAGAAGAAGTTGATGATTGTGTCTGTCTCACAGTTGCGATAGAGGTCAGCCAGCTGAGAGCAACAGTTGACAGCCATGTTGTGGACGCGGAGGCGCCTTTGTCCGCTGCAGCTGGTGTACAGCACAGCACACTGCAAGCAAACAAATGAGGCAGGTTTTTATTTACACATGTAAAGACTTTGCGTTTTTTGTTCCTAAGATTTTTTAGTCATTCAGTGAAGTCTAAATAGTCGCTGTGCTTAAAACACTGAGGGTCTACTCTTAAATTACTGGTCCTCTGAGTTCTGACAGCAGCTGTTCTTCTATGACCTACGTTTGATTCCAGGTTATTTGATTGATTGACAAAAATGTCAGGTGGCTACGATCTACCATAATCTGATAACTGATCATTGGTGTTTCAAAATATGTGATTAAAAACTCTAAATAAAAGTGTTCCCTTCTTCCCCTCACAAGATTTTGTTACAAAGACAAATGTGCACACCTGCATGAGTGCCCCTGTCTCCTCGCTGAGCTTGTCATCGTGTTTGAACTCAACAGTGACGGCCTTGTCACAGTCCAGGCCTGCCAGCTCCACATCTGTGGTGTTACTCATGAAGAAGGAGCCGTAGAAGTCTGTCGCTCTGATACCTGAGGAACGGGGAGGGTGTGGAGTAAAGCAGGGGAGGAGATTGTAACATTTCTTTCAATCTGACTATGGTTTTTCGTCTGGTTTTCAGCTAGGGCTTGTCTTACCTGTGCTGGTTCGCACCCTCATGACGGCATCAAACCCTACTAGTTTCTGAATGTCTCGTCTGAGGTCATTCAGGAATCGTTCTTGATCAGATTGAGCCTGAGATAAAGAAAACAAAAACACAATGAGAAACATTGCAGCAGCTTCAGGGTGAGACTGAAGGAAGGAACAGGGGGATTTCCTCTCACCTGGAAGTAAGTGTATTTGTAGACTGAACCTCCGGTGGAGACGGGCACCACTGATAACGTGGCAACATCCACAAACTGGTTCGGGAAGAGGAAGAGATCTACGCAGCAGCCCTGGGCCACACACTCCTTAGCGAGGGTGTTGTAGAAGCCCACCTGAGGCTGAAACAGAGACTGGAGAGGACGGAGAGTCAGTGTGTAGGAAGTAAACGAGGGATACTTTAACAACACAACATCTTGCTACACTCGTGTTTACCTTCTCCTTATCTGTCCCAATCAGCTTCTTGTCTTCTCTGTTCTTTAATTTTCCAGGAGCCTCTGCGATGGGCAGAGAGGTGTGGAACACAAACAGCTTCCCAGCACAATCTGCAGCCTGAGAAACAAAGCAACATAGAAATCATGAGCCGTGTCAGCAGCTCTTTACAAGCCAAGTATCATGTATACAGATGTATTAAAAACTACCAGA